ACTTGTAATGAAATATGTTTTTAAAAAAACAAAACAGGATTAGAATGAAAGGGAAACTCACTTTTCCAGTATCACAGTCAAACAATTCCCTTGAATGTCTTTGTATCTATTCAACAAACTTCCCTCCTTTTAAAAACTGTTTTTATACCCTTCCTCTCCCACTGTAAAAGTAAATCACCACTATGTATTCTTCCTTTCACCTATGCAAATAGACACGGAGAACAAATCCCAATAAAAAGCGTGAGGTTCCTCACAGGTCTGAGGTCCACAGGGAATTTTCTTTAAATAGACTCAGGATAATGAAATCCTACAGCAAGCCCACACAACTTGTGTTGTTAGAAACACAATACACTAAATAGGTACTGCACCCACCTGAGGCACGATAAGCCCCCCATTGGGCTGGCCGCTTAGAGGTGCAAAAACCAGGGAAGAGTCAATTTATTTCTTTATTATTCATACCCTGCTTTTCTCCAGTTTGGTGTAGTGGTTAAGTGCGCGGACTCTAATCTGGGAGAACCGGGTTTGATTCCCCACTCCTCCACTTGCACCTGGCTGGATGGCCTTGGGCAAGCCATAGCTCTGATAAGGAGCTGTTTTTGAAAAAAGGGCAGTTTCTGTCAAGAGCTCTCTCAGCCCCGCCTACCTCACAGGGTGTCTGTTGTGAGGAGGGGAGGGGAAAGGAGTTTGTAAGCCACACTGAGACACCTTTCGGTAGTGAAGGGTGGGGTATAAATCCAATCTTTTCTCTTCTTCTTCTTCTCTTCCCCAATAGAGACCCGACTGTATTCTCTCCTCCTCTGTGTTACCCTCACAGCCACATTGTTCATAGGGAAGTTAGATTAGGAGAGAATGATTGGCCAAAGGTCACCCAACAATCCAGTTTGGTATAGTGGTTAAGTGTGCGGACTGTAATCTGGGAGAACAGGGTTTGATTCCCCGCTCCTTCACTTGCACCTGGCTGGATGACCTTGGGCAAGCCGTAGTTCCATCAGAGCTGTTCTTGAAAAAGAGCAGTTTCTGTCAGAGCTCTCTCTGAGCCCCACCTACCTCACAGGGTGTCAGTTGTGGGGAAGGGAAGGGAAAGGAGTTTGTAAGCTGCTCTGAGACTCCTTTGGGTAGTGAAGGGTAATCTCTTCTTCCCCCAGACCATGAAGATTGGTTCGGAATGCGCAAGAAGAGACTTTACTAACAACAAGCCAAAGGGACACTTTTGTTGCTGTTCAGTCGCACAGTTGAGTCCGACTCTTCGCGACCCCATGGACCAGCTCCCGCCAGGCCTTCCTGTCTTCAGCCGTCCTCTGAAGTTGGCTCAATTTCATGTTAGTTGTATCTTTGACACTGTCTAACCATCTCATCCTTTGCCGTCCCCGTCTTCTTTGACCTTCAATCTTTCCCAGCATCAGGGTCT